AGATAGATAGATAGATAGATAGATAGATCTGTAGTTCTTAGACAGACAGACAGACAGACAGACAGACAGACAGACAGACAGACAGACAGACAGACAGATGGTTGTCCAATTTCCTATTGAATGCCTCCAGCGCTGGAGCACTCTGAGTTTGAAATTTGCTGAGGTTCTTTAGATTTATGATTTCCTCTTTCTTCTATGGAGGGGAGGGGCATGTGAGCCAAAGGCTGTTTTGTGCTGACCCTCCATTATTAATGCTCACCCATCTATCTTATTTTCCTAAATTCTGCCTTACTTTCTGCTTGCTCCTAGCAGGTCAAGCCGGTTTGCTTCTGGTTCACCATGAGTCAGTTCCCTTGTCACAACACTGCCCGGAAAACCTACATTTTTGTACCGCAGTCCCCTGCATTCTCCAAACCAGGGTGGCTTAGGTTCAGTGATCCATCCTGTCTGGGAGATGCTGGACTCCCATGTAGTCCAAAACTCCTTCTCAAATTCTGAATTGGGACCACTTGCTATCCCTCTGAAATAATTCGGAATGTAGGAACCTGCCTTGATTTGAATCAAAGATGCTTCCAGATGAAATCACATTGTACTTCTTGACAAAACCCAAAAATAAGCCCCACTTAAGTGAAATCCTGCCCTCCACCCTTCTGCAGCAACCAGAAGAAGATGAAAGGACTGTAAAATAAAACATCCCCTGAAAATAAGCCCGAATATTTTCAGGGAAACAGGGTAGTAATGGTCAATTACATGCTTTCCCCATTGCAAAAACCAGATGCACATCCCCTAGTCTATGCTGGTTGTAATCACATTGTAAAAATCAGCACTAACTATATGGAACATGAATCTCATATACATCATGTGTCCAAAAGACTAAATGAAAACTGGCATACTGTAGCAGAAGCTGATGAAAGGGAGACAAGTACATATACCATATCATTCCTGTGGCTGCACGAAAATCCAGGCTGTGTTACATTGCCTAAGTATAGAGTTAAGAGCCTAAATGTGTACTCCTGCTTTAGCATCTTGGTCTAAAAGTAGCATAATAGCAAGGTTACTCCAAAAGATCAGTTTTCCTTGTAATAAAAAAGTGCACCTTTATTGCAGGGTGATAATTACGGTGCTTCTGTTCTGATGAAAGTTGCAATATATATCCAAGTCTGTCATTTGTACTCGAGTCCTGTAGCTCAATGTCTGGGCTGGAAGCTTCCAATCTAGAGCTGGAATACTCTGAAGTCCATAGCAGTGGGATGTTTTCATTAGATCACCCAAACGAGCACAGAAAATGGCGCAGCATGTTGCATGGAGAAACGGAACCCTGTCTTAAAGTCATAGTGGCTGTGTGATAGCCTAAGGCAGAATGGTGGAGAATAGTGTTATAAACATTCAATAGGCTCTGGCAGCAGAGTGCGATGTGTTATGTAGCCTGTTGGACTCCAATTGAAAAATCCAGGTACAGTTCTTCAGCTGGTCGGGTAGGACAATCTTCCCAGAGTTGCTATGTGTAGGAGCTAGTGGTCCTGCCATTGTTCAGGTGGATAGGTAGGTAGGTAGGTAGGTAGGTAGGTAGGTAGGTAGGTAGGTAGGTAGGTAGGTAGGTAGGTAGGTAGGTAGGTAGGTAGGTAGGTAGGTACCATATTTTTCCATTTATAACATGCCTCATTTATAAGACACACATACACCCCACTTTTCTAACCCCCAAATTAAGAAAACCTAGCTTTGAGGATTCAGCCTCTGGGCTCAGAATACTTGGACATTAGGAGTCCCTGTTGAATCTGAACCTACAGGCTCCTCCTCCAACGAGGTGTGTTCCAATTGGTTCGTACAGCATCAGCTAACATCAGTTTCATAAGGCTTGTGAGTGGAGGAGCTCCGCCTCCAGCGAGGTGTGTTCCAATTGGTTTGTACAGCATCAGCTAACATCAGTTCCATAAGGCTCGTGAGTGGAGGAAACTAAGTCTCCTTACTGTAGGAAGCTAAGGCTCGTGACTGAAGGAAGACTGTTTACAGAGGCAAGGTATGGCCAAGTGGAGGAAACTAAGTCTCCTTACTGTAGGAAGCTAAGGCTCGTGACTGAAGGAAGACTGTTTACAGAGGCAAGGTGTGGCCCGTTTTGTTCCCTCCGTGTTCTCAGCTTACTTCGGTGTAAAAGATGCCCCTCAATTTTTAGTGTAATGATTTTAGGAAAAAGTAGGGTCTTATATATGGGAAAAAATACGGTAAATAGGTATATGTTAGCCAACGGGTGTTTCACCCATTCTGGCCTTTACAAACCATAGTTGCTTTTCTCTGCTCTAAGCATCAGCATAACATATTTTTGGTTCTCTCTCATCCTCATTCTCTCTTTCTCTCTCTCTTGGGACAGGGACCAGTGTAGCAAAAGGGAACTGGGGTCTTCTGGACCAGGAAGCAGTTCTGAAGTGGACTCAGCAAAACATTGCAAGTTTGGGAGGAGACCCAGATCGGATTTCGGTGGCAGCTGATGGCAGCGGAGCTGATGTCACCAGCCTTCACCTCCTTGCCGGGGGTGCGGATCCTGCACTCTTCAAAAGGATGCTGCTCATGGTGAGTCCCATTCCTTCTAGGCTGCAACCACAGCTGAAGTCAGAATACAGCCACCCGAATCCTCAATCCTTAACTTCTCTCAAAAGTAACATTTTTAGAGGCTTGAGGAAGACACCAGATAGTCATTATCTGCTCCTTCTTTTTGTTTTAAAATATTTTATTATTTGTAAATTTTTGTACATTTTTTTATACATTATTTTTGTTCAGCTTCACCCACGGGTCGTACGCTGTTTTTTTTAAATGCATATTTTACACCGGCTTCAACCCTATAAATAAGTTTATATACATATTTGGCACAGAACTGAAATGATAACAGATAGACACTCAACTGCTCCTAAGTTAGGCAGATCTACAGGCCTAGCAAAATCTGGACTGTGTTACTGTGTGGAATATTCCAACTTTAGAAAAGAAACGTACTGTCTTTATAGGAAGCACATTCAGAGTGAAAGAGAATGAAATAACGTAAGCTATCCATCTGGCTCTGTAAGTTTTCTGTTGTAATGGAACCTTTTATGTGGGCAATCTTTTTCTTTTCTTTTTTAAAATGTGATTCTTCTACCTCTAGTCTAAAAGCCGAAAAAAGACTCCTACGTTTGATTTCCCCCCCCCCCGAGCATATAACTCTGCACCTGTTGATTTGTGCTGTGAAGTCTGTGTTTTGGAGCGATAAACACTGTCTGCTACATTTACTCATTCATCACAATCTGTTCTGTGTGGGTTTTTAAAAATGTCTTTTAATTTACAGGCTATGCCTACTTCCGTGCACCTTAGGAGCTCTTAAGAATTTGCAAAGCCAGAGGTTTTTAGAGGGGAAAAGGGGCTCCAGACACATAGGCATCTGATCAATCACTTGGCTTTTAATGGGAAAGTTGTAGAGCAGCTGCATGGCAGAAGACCATGTGGGAATTATAATGTGGAAAAATAGCCATTTTTAATTAGATGATAATCTGTGGCAGTGTAACCAGCCGGGGGGGGGGTAGGGATTGGAAACGTATTATTTAAAAGTAATTCTTTCTCAGTATTTGTTACAGTGTTTGCAAAGAAACCCTTTATTGGTCCATGCCGAAGTTTTGAAAAGTAACTAAATACCTGACTAGTTACGCTGTTTATTCCACTTTCATTCCTTTCTATTATTCTTTAGGGGAACACTAGGTTTAAGAAGTAAATGACATGAAACTTAAAAGAAGTTCTTGTCAGGCTGTCTCTAAAAACCACTTAGTACCTCAAATATTGACATTTGATATCCCAAATAAGAATATTGAAATATGACTCATTGCACAAGTAAAATAACTAAGTTCCTATTTGTTATCCTACTTTTGAAATGTAGCTTTTAAAATAACCTTGTGCCCCCAAAAGTTAGTTGAACCGCACTTTTTATGTTACTTTAGAAATATAAGTTTATTACACCCTTTTTGTAAAGAGTAACTTTGGTTCCTAGTCATCTTTTTCTAAGGAGTAACTTTGGTTCCTAATCATATTTCAACCTTACTATTGAAATATAACTTTGCCCCAAAAATAATTTATTAAAGGAACTGCATTACTCATAATTCATTATGTCCAAGCTCTGGCCCACGGATGCCGTTCTTCTGTAAACAAAGTCTGTTTTAGATTATCTGCCATTTTCTCTCGGCAACTGCTTCACAAATGAAGTCTAGTTTTCAGACTGTTTCTGAAGATGTGTGTATTTCTGGGCTAGTATATGATGGTCGTATTTCCAAGAGCGCAAAAATAATAATATTGCGGACACAGAATTTCTCAGTTCCTTCTTGGCTGATCAACCCTTCACCCCGCATTTTCTCAAGCTCTCAGTCTTCATGAAACATGAAAGCTGGTTGCGATGTGACCTCTCTCCGATATATAACCGACTGGCTTTTTTTCTTCTTTCTCACATAAGAGGAGGAGTCATTTTCTCCAGTAAGAGCGAGATATGAGGCGATGCTATTCCGGAGCCCGTAGCTGAGGCCAGAGTCCTCCATTCCAAGCATGTCTACAATTTCATCGTCATCTTCCTTTGATCTTAAAGAAATGAAAGTAGAGGAAGTTGTTCAATGGTTTCGCTGTTGACACAAATTGAGCTTCATTGAGAGAAATGATACTTAGCAGTTTGGTTCAATGTTAAGCTGGAAGTGTACGAAATAATAGTTGGGGAAAAGACATGCCCATGAGGTTTTGTCTGTGACGTCTATGGGTCAGTGTGGGCCTTTGCATTGGGCCACTGATGCTAGTCTTCTTGAAGGTCCACAGTCTCACATGGAGACCAAGTGGGAACCAGCACAAGGATTTGTATTCCTGCCAGGCTGGGTATCAAATACATACCTGACAGCTGAAGACAGGCACTGTCTTAATGCTAAAAGCACATGCTAAAAGCCACAAAGACCCACAAAGCAGAAAAAGATGCTTCATGCCCTAGACACTGGGGACCTAACTTAGTTACAACCAACCATTTCTGAAATCAGGATGTGAGAGAAATGCTTGCTGGAGCTCAATGGTTGTTTCTGTTTTTAAACAGTTTGTGATTTCCCCTGATAGCAATCGAATTCTGACTGAACACTGTGTAGTAGTCTCAAAGGCTTTCATGGCTGGGATCCGATGATTGTTGCAGGTTTTTCAGGCTGTCTGGCCATGTTCTTGAGGTTTTTCTTCCTAACATTTCACCAGTCTCTGTGGCTGGCATCTTCAGAGGACAGGAGTCAGAACTCTGTCTGTGCTCTGGTGTAGTTTTGTGGGATAGTTATTTAGCTGTGGGATCAGCTTTTTGTCCTTTTAAGGAGATTGGGTGATTATGGTGATTGAAGTGTTTTTTTGTTGTGGGTATATTGTTGTGATAAGAGGGAGAGATGATCTGCCTCTGTGATTGATGGGTGTCCAGCTAGACACAGGACAGATAATCTCTCCCTCTTACAACACAGGGACAGATAATCTCTCCCCCTTATCACAGCTATTCACTCATAACAAAAAACACCCTGATCACCATAATCACCCAATCTCCTGAAAAGGAAAAAAAGCTGATCCCACAGCTACAAATACTCAACTATCCCACAAAATTGCACAGAGCACAGAGTTGTGACTCCTGTCCTCTGAAGATGCCACCCACAGAGACTGGTAAAACGTTAGGAAGAAAAACCTCAAGAACATGGCCAGACAGCCCGAAAAACCTATGAAAACCAACTATGTAGTACCTTTTAGAGTAACAGACAATAGGATTAATTTTGATGGATACACAGCTCTCATCTTTAAATGAAGGGAGTTATATTTTGCATGAAGAGGAATGTATACAAAAGCATGTGGTTGGAAATGGGATTATGAAGTGAAAGCAAACTTAAATACATATTTTGCAATGATAGTTTGAGTGACGTTGACTTCCTGACACTAGAGCCATAAGATTTTTTTTTAGTTTCCCAATATAGTTATGGTGGCTGCAGTTCTTATTACAATTTAATCATAATTTAATTTGACTTAATGAACTTCCGTTAAATAGCATGTTGTGAATGTGGTCTTAGCACAAACCTTCACCACTGCTTCCACCACCTTACAGAATTAAATTCTATTCCACTTCTTTGCACACACATTTGGTGTCAATCTTGTCCCCCCATCTGCGTCCTCAGAAGCAGTAATAATAGTAATAGTAATAGTAATAGCAATAGTAGTAGTAGTAGTATTAACAACAACAACAACAACAACAACATCTTGGATACAGAATTCTGAATGTTGAAGTCCAAAACCAGGTGTAGCAGAATGAATCCCAAGATTGTGTAAGGACTTAGAACAGACACATGGGAATTAAGGTATGAACAAGGAATAGGGTCAAATTTGTCCCACTGAGTAATATAGTTGAGTTGCAGAACTGGTGTTCTGTGGCTCCAGCATTTCGTGGCAGACTGAAATAACTGCTCAAGCAAATGGTACCTCTGCTTATCTTTCCACCTGAAGGTCTTGTTGCGCATCACCACAGGGGGGTCCTGGATCCGTCCTTCGTTGCTGATAGTGTGCTGAGTGAGGCAGGGATTTGAGAGTACACAGCAGAGGCCATCGGCTACCTCTGAAGAAAGGAGCAAAGAGGAAACAAATCGTAAACCCATATTTTTTTTCCTGCTGTTGCTGTATTTGTCTGTTGTTGTTTTTTTACCTTTCTTTGATGCTGAGGACTGTGTATAATGAAGTCAATTTTGACTCATGGAGACCTTTCCTGGGGCTTTCTAGGTAGAAAATACTCAAAAGCGGTTGACCATTCCTTTCTTCTGGGGGTGTGCCATGGAACTATGTGCAGCTTGCCCAAGTTATTGATTGATTGATTGATTTGATTTGATTTGATTTGATTTGATTTGATTTGATTTGTATCCCGCCCATCTGGTCTGGTCGACCACTCTGGGCGGCTCCAAGGCCGCACAGTCTGGCTCAAGACCCAGGAGGCACATTGGGGAATTGAACTCGGTTCATGCCAGTTCATGCTTGATGTTCCCTTCCCCTGCCTCCTTGGACAATGACCCACTCAGCAGTCAGAGCATGCTCCTCCTCTTCGGCTGTTCAGCCAGTCCCCGGCAGGAGCACAGGCTTCCCTGCCCCGCCTCCTTGTCTGATTGGGTGGTCAGCTAAGGAGGCGGGGCAGGGAACCCCATGCTCCTGCTGGAGACTGGTTGAACAGCCAAAGAGGAAGAGGGGAGGAACATACACTGGCTGGTAAGTGAAGGATCCAGCCCAGGAAGTGGGGGAAGGTTTATACCCACTTCTACTCCCAATCTCTGGCTCTACAGCCAGATACTTAAATCACTGAGCTATCTCGCCCTTTAATTCCAATAATATTCAGGACAAGGTACAATCAAAACATCAACAATAGGAAAAATGCAATCTATCACCACCATCAGTTCATACACTTGATAACAGGTAGAAAACCTCTTTGAAAACAGGGATAATTGTGTAAGTTTTAATCCCTCTCCCATAGCGCTAGAACACCAAGTCTTCCGATGAAGCTGAAGGATGGGGCGCTTGGGACAGGTATGGAATAGTGGATGGGGTACTGGACTAGGATTCAGTAGAGCTGCGTTTAAGTCCCTGCTCAGCCATGGGAACATCGGCTGATGTGTTGATTTTGTTTAGTCAGGGGGGTAAGGAAAAAGCTAGTTCTGCAAAAAACAGATCAAAACCAGCTATAAAATTAGCTGCTGCTGATCGCCACATATCTTCTCCTGTTTCACATCCTCTAATGCATATTTTGGGGGGAAAAGCAAACCATTCAAAATGTTTAATGGAGGAGGAGCTTATTATGCTGTCTTTTGGGCTGATGAATTTTCTATCCACAAATCCCCACAGTCACCATTGATCATTATCTCATGCTAAATTCTGACATCCATCTTCACATTCTTGCCTGCCTATACATTGCTAGCCACGAGTTCTGAGAATTAATTTGGCTTTAGGCAAATGTTGTGGCTTCACACCATAGTGTGAGATTCTGGCATTAATTGACAATGCTAGCAACGTGTTTCCTCTGCAGGC